TTAGCTACATCATTAAACATTTTGTACTGTAATGACATCCTCTCCTACTGCAAGCCAATGAGGCAAGAGTGATTCTTAAGCTTTTCTGTCCCACCAATACCAGGACAAGAATTAATAAGCTAATCCTGATAAATAAATCTTAGTCGGCTGGCCAGATGCATAATAATGCATACCCTCAAGGAATTCATCATCAGGTTGCAGAAACTCTAGATTTGGGGTTCTCTTCATCTCATTCTTTGTCCTTATAACCACAATCATTGGTTCTGTTTCAGCAATATCTTCTGCATCGGTTCACTTTTCTTTCTCTGCACTCTCATTCACTATGTATATTGTCTGGACCACAGCAGAAACCTGAACCACCACTTTCGGAAATCCAGCTATCTTTCAAAACCACATATTATCCTCTGCCTAAAAGAGTTTTATTCAGACATGAAAAAAGACTCCAACTGTGACCTGGAATGTAGCTCAATTGGTGCAGTACTTGTGTAGTATACACGAGTCCCTGGGGTACATTCCTAGCAGGGAATGGACAGCATATGTAGCACAAGCCTATAACCTCAGTATTTAAGAGGTACAGGCAGAAGGATCAGAAGTTCTGGGTTATCATCTCTACATAAGGAATTCAGGGTTAGCTAGGGCTATGTAAGTCTCTATCTTTAAAATAAAAGTATAATAAAATAGTTATTTTCAGAAGAGTAGAACTGTAGATCATGTTAAGCAAAATAACTTAGACTCAGACAAATAGTACATGTTTTCTTGTCAGACACAGAATCTAGAATATATATGTAGGACATGATAGTAGAAAGATAACTGTGAGGGGGGGAACAGTCTTAAAAGAGATGTAGTGGTTTGAATAAGAATGTCTGCCTATAGCCTGTATTTGAATGCTCAGTCAACAGGGAATGGAACTCTTTGATAGAATTAGATTAGGTACGACCTTATTAGAGTAGGTGTGGTCTTATTGAAGAAAACATGTCACTGAGGGTAGGCTTTGAGGTTTCAAAAGCCCATGCCAGGCCCACTTTTTCTTTCTCTCTGTCTATGGAACAGAATGTAGTTCCTAGAGCCTGCTTGCATGCTCTAATAATGGACTAAATCTCTAAAACTGTAAGCAAGGCCCCAATTAAATATTTTTTTTAAGAGTTGCCTTCATCATGGTGTCTCTTCACAGTAATAGAACAGTGACTAAGACAAGATAGGGAAGATGGAAACAAAGGTGATATGGGGGAAAAAGAAAACATTGCATATTTTTCTTTTATATAGAATCTATATACACACACACATAATGACATTAAAGTAGAAGTGAAGTTACTCATAGGAGAAGAAATAGCAAGAGATGTAGAAGTAACTTGGGTGGAGAAGTTGACTATATGGAAATGTAATAATGAAACTCACATATTACTTTTAAAAATTACTGTTTAAAAAAGTTAGTGAAAAATAAAAATCAACTTGACATTGTCCTACGCCTTTTCATGGAGCTCCAGCTCAAGGGCCCAGTCTTTTTCATGTATTCATTTTCAAGGAAAATCATCTTGCAGGCTGCTTTATGTCTTCCAATAACCATTCTTTAACTCAGTCTCTCAACCTTACACCAGTCAGATCCATCGTCAAATCTTCTCAATCCAGTTCAAGGGCTTCCCCTCAACTTAGGAAATTGCTAGTCAAATTGTTTCTTTACTGTTCCAATAGCTTCCTTTTTAGACCTTTATCTGAATTGCCTGCTCTGTCTCATGCTGTTACTGTAAATTAAGCACATAAACCTCCCTTCTACTAACCTAAGAAGGCCCCAGGGGCAGAATTTGTGGGCGGTATTACAAAGTCACAAACACCCAAGCGATTAGCAGATATTCAGTGGACAAGATGAGTGCAATTTTATCACCTATTTTACAATATTCATTTATTTTACAAATATTTTTTTTGAGCCTGAGGTTTTTATTGGTGTATACTCATTGTACATAGTATTAGGCTGCATATAAACAATTTTTTTCAAGTAAATAATGTACTTTGACCATATTTACCTTCTGTAAGTGCTTGTGTTTTGTTTTGGTCTTGATTCTTTTGAGACAAGGTCTCACTCTGTAGCCCAGGCTGGCACTGAGCTCATGGGCAATCCTCCTTTCTCACTCTCCAAAATACTGGAAATTACAGGGATGAGCCATCACACCCAGGCATTTTACAAGTATTTACAAAGAATAGACAAAGCAGAAGAGCATCTCTGCTTCTGTGGTATTTACATTTAAAAGGTATGATGTAGACAGCAAATGAAATAAAGAAGTAAATGTTTTGGATATTAGAGGAAGAAAAACAATAGAGCAACAACTGAAGCAGAACAGAGAGATGGATAGAAGTAGCAGGAATAGAATTCACCTCTGTCCTGGGTGACTCAGGAAGGTGCTGGTTACAATGTGCGCAAGAGAGCAGACCTGAATGTCACAAGGCAAGCAACAATGCTGAAATCTGATGAGAGCATTGCCACTGGCTGGACAGCCAGCTAGGCCAAGAGGCAAGTGTGCATGAAGTGGAATGAGTGATGGGGAGTGAGGTCATTAAGGATAAGTTTGGGTCAGCACTACTGTGGTAACCTAAGCGTTTATGCTTTCTGGGAGGAGCGATGATTGGGATATATTTTTAATGAATTGCCCTGATTACTTAGTTTAGACTAGATCACAGAAGTGACGAGAACAGCAGCAGGGAAGATGAGGACACAATGACAACGAGCTACATGAGAGCTGCTGTTACACACACACACACACCACACCACACACCAGATTCTAGACCTTTCTTGCCTCACAAGTTTCCTGGATTCCGAAGCCACAGCTACTACCCTCAGTAGCAGAATGTCTCTAGGGATCCCCTAGGTGCTCTCAAGTCAGGCTCAGAGACTGCTAATGTGAGTCTTAAACTAGAATGTCCTAGGAAAAGCCTGAAGGGAAGGGAGGCCAGGGCCAAGGTAGTCCATAAAAAATCAGGCACATTGCTATAAGATATCACAGTGAGGGACATGCTCTAAATTCACTTCTCCTACCCTGTAAGTAATGCTTGGAATTTCCAGGCAAGGCAGCAAAAGCTGTTCCTTTGAGTTTGGCAGAAGAGGACTCTGCACCAGGGAACATAGTGTAAATCTGGAAAATGGCTTAGGGATCCTGACAAACATATAATGTCAAAGGAAACATAGAGTAGGAGGTGAAGGTCAGCTGTAAAAATAATCAAAACCAAGGAAATTCCAGGCAGGGCCTGTGAAAATACTTCAGAGCTTAACAGAAATGTCTCAATTCCCAGTAACTACAAATGTTGAGAGCTAGGACCAGCATATATTAGTTAGGACCTGGATTCCATGCTTAGCATGACAGAAACTAATTAGAAGACTATACCAACAAATATTTATAAATTGCCTAGTAAACACATTCCATTACATGAGATGCTCTTCTCTCCTATCCCAGAACACAAAAAGTAGGACAGCTAAATTTCATCTTAAGAACACTGAGGAAAGTTTTCTAGGAGTGACCTGTGTCTGGGGATGGCTGTGGAGGGGGAAGGAATTTTCATGAACCATACTAGACTTTCGGAATATTTTATTTTATTTTGAGTGTGAGTCTACATTTTTATTAATTAAAAGTATCAGTGTTAAAAACATTTTGTGTATGTGTGAGCATGATGTGGCGGGGAGAGGTACTCCAGCCATGGTACACATGATGAGGTCAAAGGACTGCTTTGTGGAGTTGGTTCTCCTTTTCCACTTTTCCATGGGTTCTAAGGCTCAGAATCCTGTCATTAGCCCTTTGCTGTGCAAGTACCTTCACACACTGAGCATATATCATTCACAAAATGAAGCAACTACATTCACGCCCTGGGCCCACAGTATCATTTTTTTAAATTAACGTCATGGTTTTTTGTTTGCTTGTTTGTTTTAGAGGACCTGCACCGCTACGCATATATGGGAGTCAAAAACAGCTTTTGGAAGTTGTTTCTGTCCTTCTACCCTGTGGGTCCTGTAGAGTGAACTCAGGTCGATCCTAAGTTGCTTCCTTGGCAGGAAGCACCTTCATTCACTGGCCCTACCACCTATGAAGCATTAAAATAAAAAAAAAGAGGAAATCTATAAAAGAAGTAATACACTGAGGATCAAGCTACTGAAAGGAGCCCTTGAGTAACTATTTTTGAAAAATGAGATATAATAACAGCACGGTTTTATCTGTATTATCATGTACTTTCATAAACTGGTTGTGGAAGGGGTCTGTTGATTTTTGATGTTGTTTGGTTTCTTTCACACAGGGCCTGCTGTCACCCAAGCTAGTCTAGAACGTCTTTTACAGGTAAGGATAACCTTATACTCTTAACTCACCTGCTTCCACTAGGATTGCAGATAACACACCACTATGCTCTGCTAATTTCTGCTTAGTATTACAAGACTCTGCCTTCTTATTTAAGAAGAACAAATAAGTTTTTAAAATTCTAAAAAAAAATACTTCTATAAAGCAATTAGAGTTTATCATGTGTATATTATTCAAGAAAGGGGAAAGCAGCTCATGGTGTACAATAAGTTAAGAACAATCTTGCTCTTAAAGTGGCCAGGCAGTTTTCTGCAGGGAAACTTATCTCTTTCACACATCTCTGAGACAGTAAGTCTTAGGTCTGCCTAAGGAGTGTAGAGCTAAAAAAGGAAGTTAGCTCTCAGCTTCTCTTGTTATTGTACTCTGCCATGGTGATCCTCAGAGGAGCAGGAGGGAGTCTGCACTGTGCTCTGGGCTAGAGTCATTAGAGAGACACATACTTACAATACTGCAGTTGGTTGAAATTTGGATTCCTTTGCTTATTTAGCCTTCACATAATCTAAATACTGCTTTGTTTCTACATATCTAATTATTCCCAGTTCTGTTCTAGTCTTATTTTGGATATACACGTATCAATTGTGTTAAACAATTTAAAATAAAACATTTTCAGTAAGAACACTGAGAAGGAACAAGTGTCACACTGAAGACTTTGTAAAAAGCTTTACTTACCACTAGGTTTAATTTCTCGGACATAATTACTAGGGAACCATCCTGTTCTCCCATTTAATGTGCCTTCCCACCAGCCTCCTTCTTCAACTCGGGTGACATAAATTATGTCCCCTTTACAGACTGACAGTTCATCTTCATTAGTCTGCTTGAAGTTGAATCTTGCCTTTACTATCAACTGGTGACTTCCATTTTCCGTCATTTCCTAGAGAAACAAAAGCCACACCAGATTAAGTGTCCATCTAATTGAGGCATGGATAGAAATAATGTATATGTAGGCAAAGTGTAGTGATCAAAATTATAACCCCAGGGATCCGGGGAAATGGCTCAGCAGTTAAGAATGTTTGCTGCTAGCCAGGCACAGTGGTGCACACCTATAATCCCAGCACTGAGGGAGGTAGAGGCAGGTGGATCTCTGTGAGTTCGAGGCCACCCGTATCTACAAAGTGAGTCCAACACAACGAAAGCTACACAGAGAAATTCTATCTCAACAAACAAAATAAAAGAAAACAAAAAAAAATGCTGGTTGTTTTACCATGGACCTGGGTATAGTTCCCAGCATGCACATAGCCACTCACAAACATCTGTAAACCCCCATTCCAGGGAATTTGATGCCTTTTTCTGGCCTTCCTGGGCAATTTTGCAAGTAATGCACAGACATACATGCAGGGAAAACACCTATACTCATAATCTTTTTAAATTTATTTAAAAAGAGTAAAACCCCAAGCCCATTTCAGTTATTTATTTTGTGTTTTCATTAAGACAATGTCTCACATTAGCTCAGGCTGTCCTGGAATTCACTATGTAGCCTGGGCAGACCTCAAAGCAATTCTCCTGTCTCCAAGCCTCCCAAAAGCTGGGATTACAGGTTTGTGACATCATGCCTAGCTTAGCGTCAGCTTTAAACTTATGAGCCTATGAATAAGTCTTAGGAGAAATTAATAGCCCCTTCAAATCCATATACAATGTTTACAGGACCTTAGAATATATGACCTGAGTTCCATCCCTGGAGAACATGCTGGAAGGAAAGAAAGAGGGAAGGAAGGAACTGATTTTCAAAAGTTGTTCCCAAATCTTCACATGTATCTGCCTCTACACACAGATAGAATATGCACACAACAACAATAACTATAATATAAAATTTTAAAATGAAAATTGCATTTGTCAGAATGTACATTTTTGAGGGAGTCACAGCTTTCATTCCTCTCTTTCTTCACCAGTTTTCTAAATATGGCTACTTAGCTGAACTCAGATACTAAAGTAAACTAACATACCACTCGATCCTGCTTCTATCCAACATAAAACTTGGTCTAAATATTAGCAACTAACCCACTCTTGTAAAAAGCAATCCCATCCCTCAGTTACTAACAAATATTAACCAGCCTTCAGTCATAAGTAAAAATCATGTATCTCAGTTAGATTGGGTAGGTGAAGGCACACATCTATGATCTGAGCACTTACAAGGTGAAGGGAGAAAGATCAGGAGTTCACTATGCAGAGCGTTCAAGGTCAGCCTGAGCTAAATGAGACTGCCTCAAAATACCCACAATTATGTACATCAAAAGTTCTGGGCTTAACTTCTGAGAGTCACAGACTCTTATGGGAATCTGATAAGCTCAATGTAGCTTTCTGTGCTCATATTAGTTTATTCCCATGAGCTTTTATACTCGAATTAAGAAGGGCTAAAGAATATGGTGCCATAGCATTCATCAGCTTCTCAAAGGGATTTGTTAGAAGCAACCAGACTAAAATTTAATTGGGGTAGAGGGCTTATCTAGCAAGCAGGAAGCCCTGTTTTGAACCCCAGCATTGTATAAATCAGGTATGCTTGCACACACCTGTAATCCTAGCACTTGGCCGTTAGAGGCAGGAGAATCAGAAATTCAAAGTCATTCTCCATCCAAGACATAGAAAGTTCTATGCTAGGCTGGATTGTGTGAGAGCCTGTCTCAGAAGAATGAGGAGGAAGAGGAGATTCCTGAAAGAATGAGAACCACCCATTTAGATGCTCTGGAAATAACAGGTTGTTGGCCTATAGTAAACCAGTCACTTTTGACAAGAATGAAAGAACAGAAAAATGACATTTCCTCCCAAATCAAAGCTTCAAAGCACTGGTTCTCAACCTGAGGGTGGTGACCCCTTTGGGGGTTGAATAACCCTCTCACAGAGGTCACCTAAGACCACCAGAAAACACAGATAATTACATTATGATTCATAAGAGTAGGAAAATACAGTTATGAAGCAGCAATGAACATAATTTTATGGTTGGGGTCACCACAACATGAGGAACTGTATTAAAGAGTCAAAGCATTAGGAAGGTTGTGGGCCACTAGTCTAAGACCAGTATAGAGATTTATCATGGGCTCAGATTTAAAAGTGGTTCTTCTTTGAGACACTGGATTTGAATGTACTATGTAGCCCAGGTTAACTTCAAAATAGTGAGGCTCCTGCCTCAGCTTCCAGAGTACTGGAAATGCACGTGTACACTACCACATCCTGCTAAGCTTAGTTCTTGCTCAATAGGAATTAAAAAAAAAAAAGACTGCAATCAAGATCTGAACAGCAATGAGTATTTATTGATTGCCTGTGAGTGTCAGGTAATAACCTACTCTAATAAGCTCATGGGGTAGAAAGAATAATAGCAAAGTGCCATCAGGAGCAATCATAATGACTGACATTTGCATAGCCTTCCCAGCTAAGTGACTAGCTGAATTCTAGTAAACAACAGAGCTGGGGCCTCACCCCTAAGTTCCTAAGTTCCTGATGCCGGGCTCTGTCCACCTGCTCTGTCCCAATATTCTGGCTTGAAATGGTGATCACTCTGTACTTCATTTGTCTGGTGACACTCCAAACAACCAGAACATCTACTTTAGCACATATGGAAATATATCTGGGATGTCGATCCAATTTGACAGATTTTTAAAACAGAAGGGGTAGGGAATGGGGACTCTACTTACCACTGCTTTTGCTTGGCTTTGCTGCTCTGGAGTTGCGCTGAGAACTGCAGCCTGTGGGTTCGTCTGAGAGCTGGTGGTAGCGCTAAGAGAAGAGGACCGTCCACATGGTCTTTCTGATAGCTGATCTGTGAAAAGAGGGAAAGGCATGGTAAAACAAAACAAAACACCCACGGCAGAAACCACCTACAACAGGAGAAGTTCCAGCTCGGAACATTGTCAAAGCCATCCATCCTCGCAGCTACCGGGACTCTATCACTATGAACAGACTATGTGCTTTCAAGTCTCCCCCTCCCGTTTTCCTTTTTGATAGTCTTTTTTTTTTTTTCTTAACCTTACTGGCCACTGCTGTCCAGTATAATGAAAAACAGTGACAGAACCACATTTTCTCCTAACCCATTTCCCTACAACTCTTCCCTCTTGAAACAGTTGCCACAGTGTGCCCTGTTCTCCAAGGCAGAACTATATTGGGTATCAAACAGCTGTTTGTGGCTCTTATTACTTTTGAAATATTTTAAATTTCTCTCTTTGTTTGCTGGCCCATAACTCGGGGGTTCATTGCTTACATGTAAAAATATGCATAGTACACATAACATAAAGTCTCCCTAGTGTTTTGGGTGGGGTGGAAAATCAGAATGAGGGAGTGGATGCATGTGAGACAGATGTACTCTTGGTACTAGAATCATTTTGTAAAACCAAACACGAGAGCCTTTCCTTGCTTGCTTCTTTGTGAAATTTGATTGGGCCAGAGCTGAGCTCAGTGTTTTTAGTGTACTGAAAGTGTATTAAAGGGAGAGGCTGGCTTCTTGACAAATTCAAATGAGGCTTCTTTTTCTCTCCACTTATTTTTAAAAGATATAAACTGCAAAAGTCTAAAGCCCAAACATTCCCTAGGCAACAGGCTCAGTATCAGAGTAATCTCCTTGAGGCTGTGGGTTTTTACTTTCGCCTCCTTGTATTTTTATAAATATCTGTGGTAAGTGAAGAGACTGTAAAACTTGCTAGAAGAGTTTGGCAAAGAAACATATAATTTGTGTGGCATAATGTTAGAATTATACCATCCTCCCTTCCCAGAACTGGATACTTGTCATGTGCGTTAAATATAGCTACTCAAATTAGCTGTACTCTCTGCTATACGCCTTGCAATAGCTCAAAAACATTTTTTTCCCAAATAGCAAAAGAACAACTTTGGAGAAGTATTTTCCACATCTTGCTATTATCTACAGCTCGTTAGGGTAAAACTATAATTACTTGATGGCTTCCCAGATGCTTCATCCTACCTGGCACTTGATTATATTCTCTGCTCCTGTTCAGTAATTGCTTCACCTGGGTAGGTTGAGTCTCCATAAATAGATGGTAATTTCCTCAAAGGCCAGGCCATATTTTCTACTTCCTCCATGGTACATTCAGCAGCAGGATTCACATTTGGCAATCAGGGCTCTGGACAGTCTCATGTGGGCTTGAATCCCAGCTTAGTCACCCATTTTCTAGTTGAGTAACTGTGGGCCTGGCATTCTTTATCTAAAATGTGAACTACATCATCCCCATATCCCACAACAGTGTTTTAAAGATTGAATGTGACCACTTGGAGCTATTGAGACATCCTAGACCTATTGAAAGGGCTCATGGCACTTGAACTTACAATGACTACTACTGTTATAATTAAGGGATGACATCACAGAAGAAATGGGTTTCTACTGTAGTTTTATCAGTTCGTTCTTTACTCTGATTATACCCAATACAATGGGAATGAAATGTTTAAATAAGTTACTTATCTGTGGGGAATCAGGTTTCATTCACAGTGCAAAGCTACTGAAAAGCTCCTTTTTATGGAAAACTACAAGAAAAATATTGCTGGTAGAGAAAGGGAAGTGATGGCTGTATTTTGTAAACCTTATTGTTTTAAGGAGGAACTGGCCTTTCCCTTTTATTCCTGTCTTGCTATATTCAATTAGCAATCCAAAAGGTTTGCATGAAGTCACTTTTTGGTTCTTACTATTATGTTAAGAATATTAGAATTTGATAAGTGCGTATTTTTTCTTGTTATTCTGTGATTGGTTCATTTAACTCATAAAAATAAGTATTTTATATTTGTTTGAATTTAGTGGGGGAAAGGGAAGAAATTTGCACCACTATGATCATAGTTAGCTTCTAGAAACATGGATCATAAATCACCAACATGCCTTACCTTCTGTTGCCTTGTTGACAGCTAAAAGAGTATTCAGAACCTTGGAGAAATTTGCCCCTGAATAAAGGTCATCAGGCTCAAATACCTATTAGAAAGAAAATTTGAAACTGTAAGTACTCAACTCAACAAACGAAACTGTGAACAGACCCCTTCCTCCAGCATTCAAGAAGGAAAAAATTGCACAAGACAAAATGCAAACCTCTGCATACCTTCTAGAGAAACTGGAGCAGCAGCTGAGAGGCCTAATGGCCTGTGGCAACCGTCAGTGAGTCAGAACAAAACGGCACTGGGACATGAAAGGCCAGCTGAGAAGGCAGTGCCCACCAGGAAATCTACAGCACATACTCCAACCCACTCTCCTGACCTGAACAAATGAAGCTCCTCAGCCGGTTACAGGACACTTATGTGCATAGGTTCTAGTTACTGCCCAACAACTTCTCAAAGGCCTCAGAAGTCTACAAATAAGAAGGTGAGGCTTTCACCTTTGCCTTTTATTCATTTGCTGTACTCACCAGTGGCACTGTCACAAGTCCCCGTCATTCCTCCCCCTCCTCCCTGCTGCTGCCCAATGCTTAGATCCCAATGCCACATTGCAGAACTTCAGTCCCAACCTGCCTTTTGCTTGCAGCCTCACTTCCTGTTTTCTGTTGATTGATCTTGCCTTTCTGGTCTGTGAACTGAGAGGATCTGCCTCTTATCTGCCTGAGATGCTGAGCTCTTCCTGACTTTGGGTGACCCTTCTAGCTATGATGCCAGACCTTTTCGGACATTTTGGCCAGGCATGGTGGGTCACAGCTGTAGTCTTAACACTCAGGAGGCTGAAGCAAGAGGATTGCCATGAATTTAACTCATTCTGAGCTACAGAATAAGTTCCAGATTAGCCTGGACAAGAGTGCGAACCTGCCTAAAAATAAAGTTGACATTGCCAGCTTGTGCCATCATTCTGATAGGTTAACGTTGCTACAGAAAGTACCAATTACCAACCGATATACTTCTCTCTCTCTCTCTCTCTCTCTCTCTCTCTCTCTCTCTCTTTGTGTATGTGTGTGTGTGTGTGTGTGTGCGTGTGTGTGTTTTAGAGGACAACTTTTGAGAACCACTTTTGTCCTGCCATGTGCATCACTAGCAGGTAACTCTGTTTGTCTAGCTTGGCCTGAAATTACCTTCAATCACTAGGCAATTTCAGCAGCACCATTGTTTTAAATGCAATATAAAATGTTGGTTTTAAAATACATTCCATGTATTAAGTTGTGTTGAGGCTTCTCATAGTCTCTGACTTGTATATTGAAACTAGTATTCTTAGCACGAGGAGCCCAGTCTAAAGGATCAGTCAACAGTGTAGATGTTGGCCAGACGTGGTGAGTTACACTAGTAATCCCAGCACTCAGCAAGTGGAATCAAGAGGACCACAAAAAGTACAAGGCTTGCCTTGGTCTACATAGCAAGTCTGATTACCTGAGTTTGAACCCCAGAATTCACATATGGAAGTAAAATGTTGACTCTTTAAGGTATTCTCTGGTCTCTGTAATCATACTATAGAATGGACATGGGAACACACACACACACACACACACACACACACACACAGAGAGAGAGAGAGAGCAAATAAACAATAAGAAGCACAGATAGATTTTTTTTATATGAAAGAGGTTTATTAGATGGAGATGAAGAGAGAAGGAGCAAGTGAGACATGATAGGGGGAAGAAAGGGGGTGCCCCGACAAAGAAAAGGGGCACAGATAGATTTTTAGTCAAAGGATATCACCAGTATTTCTGAAAAGTTATATGGTACTACATTCCAAATGTTTAAGATGCACTTTTCCAGGAAAGAACTGACAGAAGTTCTGTTTGAGTTTTCCAAAGCCAAGGTAAACAGTGTAATAGATGGCGGTGAAAGAACCCAAGAGGATTCCATATTTAATCACTCTTTCCTAGAACTGACCCCGTGGAGAAATTTTGGTGGCACCTACGCCAAAATGATCACCAGGCAGAGTTCACTTGTCTCCTTCGTGTTAAATGTGTTCCCTGTACAATTTCACGAAAACATAGACAGTGCCTTCTGCTCAGTGTCACCCTAACCCACTCTCACATTTCCCCTATGCCTCTGTTAACTCCCCCCACAAACCTCTTTTGCTTGGTAACATCCTGGGACTAACTAGGGCTGCCTGTGAAGTTCACTTGTTTTTATCCTGTCATTCTCAGTGGGATTGTGCATGGGGACATGTACATTAGATAGATAAGGAAGAAGTGGGCAGACCCTACAGTAATAAGTAAACCGAAAGGCTAGGAGAACAGACATGAGAATAAAACCTGTGTTGAAAATCTCCCCCTTGTCATACTGGTGTAGCTGTTCCTTACAAATGCTCAGATTCTTCAAATATCCTGGTTCTTGACTGAGTTTTATAACATATGAATCAATCATAAAATAAAGCATACATCAACCAAGAGTCACTGCTCAAATGAGGAAGTTGCGTGGACTGCACCCAGTTCCCTTTTGTGAAAACCCAAATACACTTGAGTTCATCCACAGATGCTGTTCTTCTCACAGCTAGCAAGTTCTGTAGCAGCAGGAACTACACAGGAAGGCATTACAGGGCCTTTGTGAACTGGCAGAAAAACAATTCTCAGGGATTATTGTTTCAGAGCATTTGGGGGACCAGTTACAGCTACAGACCAGCTTCTTCACTGCAGCATACATTCCTAAACTCTAAATTGATTTTTTTTTTTGAAACAAGGTTTCATGTAGCACAGGCTGGCTTTGAACATGCTCTGCAGTTAAGGATGACCTTGAAAATTTTCACCTCCTGCTTCTACCTCTCAGGTTCTGAGCTTAGAGGTATGCACCACCATGCCCTTTTAATGTGGTACTGAGGATCAAACCAAGGTTTTTGTGCATGTTGAGCAAGTACTCAACCAATTGAACTATAGCCTCAGCCTCTCCAAATTAAGTGTTCAAAATTCTACTCCAAATTTTTCTTATATGAACTTGACCTGGGTCCCCTACGTAGAACATATTATTTGGAGAAGGCACATCACTTCCATTCCACAAATATATCCATTTGGAGTCACTGGTCAGGAAGGGTGGGGGAATCTTGTGGTTACAACACTTGTCAGCTATTTAGACCATACTGCAAAGGAGAAGCATGAGATTAAATTTACAGATGAGGATGGTCAGAAAGACCAAATGCATTGGTGCCCAACTGGGTAAAAGTGGGGAAGAATCCCTTAAGGTGGACTGAAAAAAGAAAAGCAAGAAGAATTGTAGATGCCATATAAGCCACTCAAGTAGGAAGGACACCACTTTTATTGTTGTTTTTTTATTCTTTTTCTTTAGTTTGATTTTTGAGACAGAGCTAGGTAGCTCTAGCTAGCCTGGAACTCACTGTATACAGAAATTCTTCCAGCTCTACCTCCTGAGTGTTAGTATGAGTGTTAGTATGACAGGATTGAGCTGCCACACCCAGCCCCAATGTCACAAAATGGAGAACTAACCCCTCATTAGGCTATTAGTGCCCAGTATATGATCGAGATTCCAATTAGTTGAACTTTATTCCAATTTTGGTCCAGAAAGAAGTCAGTTCATCTAAATCCTTGAAATTCATACAAACAGCAGTATTCCCACCCTCCATTCATTTTACTATTCTCTGACTGGAATAAAGTAAAATGAACTTTAAACATTGTTAGAGAATCCCAAGGTACTACTCCATCAAGTAGATGACTAAGGCTCAGGTTTTCAAACAACAGAAACTCAACTCTGGATAAGCAACAGAAAAGACAATCACTAAACCTCATTAGGGTTCCTTTCTTGAACATTCATATATAGCAAGTCAAAGTCCACTCCAACATCAGCGGATGAAATGAGACAAAGCATTTAGTTTTTTTACAAGTTTTTTTTTTTTCCAGAATTTTTCCATTCTGAAAATCCACAATGACATCAAAACCTATTCTCCATCCTCTGAGTGCCGGTTGTGAATTCTGAAATCTTGGGGATCTGCCAGTGTAAACTGTGCAAAAGTTATTATTTCTATGACTTTACAAATATATCCATTTGGAGTCACTGGTCAGGAAGGGTGGGGGAATCTTGTGGTTACAACGGTTACAACACGGAGGTAAACCACTCCAGGCCTCCTGACTGCCTCATTATCATTCCTTCCACACCTGAGTTACGCAGTCACACCACGTCAGCCACATCCTAGTTAAGAAAGGAATCCACCCCTTCCTACTTCAGAAGTGGCAATGCTTTTAACGTCACTGTGCCTTCAGGAGCACCCAGCCAACTCCCATTTCAGGTTAATTCCAGGTTTACATTGATCACAGTTGGCTCCAGCACTTTTTCTAAAAATCTGATCAACTGAAAAACTAATGATCCCATGGAACCACAAGAACACTCAGCTTCTATTTCCAGCCTGTTCAAAAAAAATGCTAAATATCTAAGGACATTCCAATGTTCCCCCTCTTCATCGTGCTCTTATGAAATGGAATCTTAATTTAACTGAGCTCATCCTGAAGCACATTCTCTAATTGTCACAGCTGAACACACTGTCTCTGCTAACATGGATGGAAATGTCATTACATGGTATGACTGAGAAGGCAAATCAGAGTTGCTTAGTCATATTTCACTGGTGGTACTGCTTCTGACGCTATAACCTGGGAAGCTTTTCCCACAGCTCCTGCGAAATGTAGTTATAAAGTCAGCAACAAATAATGATCCTAGCTCATAAATTGGACTCATTACCCACCAGCATTTCACTTACTAGAACACAGTGACGGCATTTGTACCCGGCCTAATCACTGCTTCTGTTGATGGGGTACAAACTTAAAAGAATTCATTGGACTTTGATTCTTTCCATTTCTCTGCATTTCAGCAATTTAGGAAACAAGATCCGACTTGTACCTGTACTCACAACAACATGAGGTATGTTGAAAAGAGCACTAGTGTCAGGGTCTGGGGACCTAGACTTTAAGACCAGCATTGTCAGTGCTAAACAGTTATAAGGGTCTTAGGAAAGCACTACTACTACTCTCCTATGGCTTTTACATCTGAAAAGTGAGAAGAACTTGACCAATACAGGCCAATGAGAAGTCT